TGAAATTAAATAAAAGGCTCTTCATAGGTGTCTCAACCTAGGCACAACGCATTCTGCATTGAGGATCGCGCGATGGGCGGACCGACCACTCTCTCGCTATATCCGTTGCGCACGATTGTCGATTTAATTCTGGGCCCTTCTAAATATACTCGTCCCGAGGTGGAACGCTGAGCCGCTCCGACGTGACATTACCTTTCGCCACGTTGAATTAACGGATTTCTCGTCTCGGCCCCAGAGGAGGGATTCATTTATTCTTTGGCAGCCTAAATATTCTGTTCGTTTTTTTTTTTTTTTTTTTTTTTTTTTTTCCGCCAGGGTTAATTTTGTACGGTCTGCTGGCTCTTTCTCGGGTTACTTGAGAACTTCGATGACCCTCGTCCGGTCATAGGTCACCGATCGAGTGTCTTTGACATTGAATACAACACGAAGGAGAGTGAAGCAACTGTAGTTCTAAAACGAGAAGAAAAGGAGGAGACAGAGCACGCCTTTTTCTTGTGCTACAAGCTACCAATATACGGCTCTGCAAGCTACAAGCCTGAGGCGGCCTCTTGTGGAGTCCGTCCTAGGCAGTGTGTCTTGTGCGAACACTGTAAGATGGCGCCACTACCCCGAAGCGCGGTTTCACTCCCCCAAATCGAACGCCTTTTAAAAACGAATTGACCCCGTAAGTGATGACGTCACAACATGGCGTCTGGGTCCAAACAAACCGTTGCTAGGGATGTTGTTATGGACTAATGCATGGAGACTCCACGTGAGGCTAGATTCTTGCTTAAAAATAAGTGAATTATTTTTTGTAAGCAATCTAACCTCTTGGTATCTAATTATAGAGATGTTCTTGTTTTCTCAGTGTCGTATTGCTACAATGAAAGCCATTTCTGAAGTATTACACTCCGCTTTGCTTTGGTAGCAGACGACACGATAGATTTGCTGGCCTCTGTTGCAGCGGGCGTCTTCATTGAATTGCGTCGGTAAACAAGCGACAAAAACAAGTGCATTGCCGTCGTCGTAAAGGCCTCCGCAATGTGCGTTTTTTTTTCTTTTTTTTTTGTGAAGTACCTAGCTTGGTTTAGAGGGGTGAAAATGCCGTGAAATCAAACCTCGTCACGCAGATCATTTACGACGACGACCTGAAGTGCATTACCGGCGTACTGCAGGTCAGTATGAGAAACAAATCGTACGCCGTCAAGGTGATTCGTTTATAATTGTTATTATTATTATTATTATTATTATTATTATTATCGAGGTTGTCAGGTTATTAAAGAATTCCATGTATATCGCGATCTTTCAGTAACCATTGCAGCGATGGTTACAACTAGCTACGACGCACCCTCACATAGCGCGAGTCCACAAACAAAATTTAAAATCTCGACCGATCGCCTGAAGTGCTTTCTCACGGGTGCAATGCGATCTTTTATCAGACGATCATCTCGATCGGCGCCCGGACTTTCGATAAGCCATATTTTGCATCGCACTCCACTATGAATTCTTTTAAATTACTGAAAATCATTATATTTAAAACAAATGCAATATCAGAATATCGTCCTTATTCACACGATTCAAACGACGGCGCCGGCTTGGCCTGCCGGCGTGTGGCAGACGGCATACTTCTTGCATTCGTCGTCTGCTGCAGGCAACGTTACTAAAACACTCAGTTGGGAAACTCCCACAGAGACGGCTTTGAAAAAGTGGCCCCAGTCTGTCTCCGAGCACCGAGCTAATGACGAACACAACGCCACCATTTCTCCCGCAGCGGCCACTCGAGGAACTGCACGTGACTTCTATTTTGGCTTTAAGAACAGATACAGCGGAAGAGGTTACAGGGGTGCCACCCCCGTCTCCCCGGCGGACGCGCCGCGTCGAACTAGTCAGCCAGTCAGAGTCTTGGGTGAAGGAAATCAAAGGAAGTGTTGAAATTAAAATGCACCTAGGTCAGGACGCGCTACCTGAAAGGCCCGCTGAGGCATGGTTGTATAACAACACTATTATTTGTTCCTCAAAACCTTGCGAACTAAAAATTATAAAAACATCACGCGCCCATCATTTGGTATTAAACTCCAATAAATTTCATACAAAAAGAGCCTTTTCCGTTTGTTTTTACGCAAAAACAGGCTCTCAAAAAGCTCAAGGTGACCACAGTACACACAAACGATAAAGAGTGGCGCTGTTGTCGCATTTAGCTCGGTCTCGGTGGACGCCAGCGGCCCAGGTTTCGACGGCGAGTTTCCCAACTGAGTGTTTTAGTAACGTTGGCTGCAGGCATCTCGAGGACCGGAAGTTGCAGTCGTAAATATTTCAGAAACAAGCGATTACTGGCACACTTCTCTCGAAACATATATGACATTCAAGCTTTCTATATCTGTGATTTTTAGAAGTTTAAATCCTACTCCTGATTTTAGAACGGTCGGGCTTTCGTAGCGAAACCTAGCCACATGTATTTGTCCATAACAACGACCCTAGCAACGGTTTGTTTGGACCCATGAAGTCACACTTACGGAGTCAATGGCTTGAGGGAGTACGGACGATGTTCTTGGGCTCTAAACAAAAATTTCTAACAAACTTTTTTTTCTCTATTCTTTTCTTAATTAAATTTTTGCGCATGCGAGTTGGCCGTACGGGACGGTAGGGGACGGGAAACAAGGCTTTTGTAGTCTTGTTTCTCGCTGTCGCCATTTTCGGAGGGCACCGTCCCGTACGGCCAATATTGTCAGCGCCCACCTTTGCTCACACTTCCGACCTTCTTAAATAAAAGCTGATACAAAGGCACGATACGAATGCGTTCTGACGGGTGGAGGCCAGACTGCGTTTGTAGTCCGCAGATAACCCCTCCAGACGGCGCTCGTTGCGTCCGTCGTTCCGCGTTCCGTCTGCTTCTTCCTCCCCAGCCCCCTTTCCCTCGCCCTACCTTCTTGAGCTGTAACTTGCTACCGGTTTCAACACGAGCCGAGCCGAGTTCACACCGAACACTGACGCCACCCTCGTGACCAATATAAATGCCCAGAAGCAATTGCGAACTCGAATAAGTGGCGAAGAAACCACTAGAAGCGTGGAAGGTAGGGGGGGGGGGGGGGGAGGGGTAAGCAAGGGGGAGTCCCCCCCCACCCTCCCCTCCCGTTCTATATGAGTTAAATTAACGTTGTCGTACCACTGTTGATCGCACTTTTCAACGTTTTCGCTGGTTTCTAGGTCTTTCACTTGTTTTCTCGATGTATCACAATTTCGACAGGGGAGCCTTTGGTAGGCCTCTTTTTTTTTACTCATTATAATAAATACATTTACATAGTGATGGGCAACGTAAGTGTCGATCGGCTCTATACTGATTAATCATATGAAAACGGTCTGCACACATCTTCGAAGCACGCGTGAAGCAAACATACTTTGAACATCCACTGATCAGTCGCACAAAGACTGCTCTGTAGACATGTTCTAAGCACATTTATGCGTGAAGCAAACATGCTTGGAATATGCGTGGGGCGTGCCCGCAGACAGTTCCGTCATAATGTCTGCGGAAAAACTCCGTGTCTTTTGGTATGACGTACTTACAAGCGGTGTGACGCCGGCTTAAGCCCCTTCATTTAAAAAATTGTAAAAAAATAAATGACACGATCGCGAACATTGTTGTCCTTGATGGTCTACATTTATGCTCATTTATTGATGCCCACAAACAGACACATATGTCTTCCCGGCGGTGGTGCATCACGTCTCAAAGGAAAGAAGAAAAAAAAAAAAAAAACACGGCAAATGTAATTAACATTTTAACATTACATACGCACAAAACATAGCGATGTTAAAGACAAAACAGAAAACGAAATCACATATTTTATGATAGTTTGGACATTACTAACACGGCATAAACCACGAGACTGCAGGCAAAATACGACACGAACACTAAAAAACCTCGAACACAGCTTTTTCTTTTCCGAAAAATATTTATATAGGCACTTTGACATCTTCAGATAATTCCGCAGTTAATGTATGATCACGCCTATATAAGTAGGCATGTCAAGGTGCCTGCCTATATGAGGACTTTTCGGGGAAAAAAAAAATTAAGCTCTGTTGGAAACTTTTTGGTGTTCGTGTCGTTTTTTGCCAGCAGTCTCAGGATTTATGCCACATTGAATCTAAACAAGCTCGTTTGCGCCCGTACATTCACAACATTACTATTTTTTTAAATAGCTTAAAGACAATGTCAATTGAAGGTAACAAAATACGAAATTAAATTTCAAAAATTCATTCTGGTGCGAAAGCTGGGAGCGCTCGGAACCATAAAGCGTGAGACACATGCGCGAAAAATCCATCCGATCCGACGTCCGATCCGGCAATGCGACTGCCCGATCCGAAAAATTTGGTCGCTTCAGACGCCGGATCGGCGATCCGACGTGCGTCCAACGCGCCAGATAGTTTCGCACGGCGGACGGATTGTCGGATGCGTCCAGCCAATGACAGCACAGCTAGCGCGAACGTCATGATGACGCACTGAGTCTGGCGGGACGAAGCGAACGGCGAGGGGAAGCCGGAAGCGTGGATCCCGCTGACCCATTCGAGAAATATGGCTTCGGCAAAGAATGCACGCGCCTACGAGAACGAGCTTCTAACTTCGCTCGTGTGAGCGAAACCGTCAATCTAGGACCAGAGATCTGTGAACGCGGACCTCCGCTGGAGTGCTTGGATCTCCTGGGCGGAGCCGAACGGATCGTCGTGTCGCATGCAAGTTCGGAAGCGTGTGTCTCAAACTGTCGCGTGCGGCGATTCGGAGCGGCGTTCGTACTGTTGGATCGGACGTCGGATCGGACGATTCTGCCGTCCATGTGTCTCGCGCTTTATACAAAAGTTCCACTGACCTCAAATGCTACTTTGGCATCTCTAAGTTCACCAAACTAACGTTCTTACGCTCAAACAGCGCGCAATGTTTTTCATATATATTATTTTTATATATATCCATTAACTCGAACGTTATCTTCCGAGGTGACATGGCTCTAGTCCATAAAACAAAACGCCGTAAACGCAAAACGCAAGCTAACGTATCCAGTGCTGGAAAACACAATGATGGGACGCAACTTTAGCTATTTTTATTATTAAGACGCTCTTGTATTCCTTCACAGTTCAATACATCCACGATGAGCTGGGCTTGAACTAGGCTGTTCCGTTGTCCATGCGGCTGCATTCCTTAGAGTGTACGGACACCCCGCTTAGTTTTGTCTGGAGGAGTACCAGAGTGTAGGTAACAACCACGCCGACCATCTGAAAAAAACAAAAACAAACAAGAAACTCACTTAGACATTCCTTCATGTCCGATGAAGGTGCGATGAGACTTGATGGTGTTTCTAGCGCGCAACACTTCCTATCGGAATGATATAGTAACCGGCGTTCGGTGAGAAAATAGAACCGTGTCTTTTGGCCCGCTTATGTACTGTACACCATGCTTCTCAGAAAGCTTGAACTCTGTAAGAACGGCACGCTATAGCGGTTGTGATAGAACGCGAAAGTTTGATAACATGAGGCTTCCTGGATCCAAAGATAAAACAGGAAGGCGAAATTTCTGTATGAGCCGCCGTTCACACTACCCTAATATCGTCACAAGGAATGACATTGCGAGCGCATATAACACATATTAAAACAAATTTCTGTCAAGAAAGAAAGCACTATTTTCTTTCTCGTTGCCAAGTGTTTTTCGCTCATATAAATGCCACATGCGTCCTCCGTCTCAGTTCTCGTTTTGACGATATTAGGATGAAGTGGACGTCGGTGGACAGAAAACTTTTGTATTTCTCAATTTTCTTTTGGTCCAGGCAACGACATGTTCTCAAACTTTCGTTCTCTATCCAAACCGCAATAGCGTCCCGTTCTTACAGAGTTCGAGCCTTCTGCGAGGGGAAGGAGGAAATAACTTCATTGTGTCCAAAGTAGAGGCCTATTCAGGCCCGTGGCGCCTGGCGGACGTCGGTATATGCGGACAGCAAGTCGTCTGCCTTTTGCGCAAGGGTGGCGGTGACGTTAGAAAGAGGCCGGGCTCTGATTGGCTCTTCTTGAAGAATAGTGGGTAGACCTCAAAGCAAGCTGCCCCTAGGTCTGTACCAGGGTGCAAGATAGACAGGTGGGGAAACGAGAGCCAAATGAGTGACCGCATTGTGTCCCCCTCGGTTTTCTCTTTTCCTGTGGCGCCATCTATGTGGAGCACCGCGAACTCTCACTCCGGGTGGGCGACCGATGGCGACCGGCTAAACTGACGGAGAGGGTTTTTTGTGGATTTTTAATGAAATATTGTCGTGCTCTCGGTTTATTTTGCGCAGTCTCCCATAAAGTTCCACGCAAATCCGATTCCGATTTTTTTTCTTCTCGCTGCAGCGCCATCTGTCGCAAATCGGGGGTACCCGCAAGCAGACGAGTACACAATCCGGTCACGGCGCTGCGGTAGGCTTCTATGGGCCGTTTCCCCACCTGTCTATCTTACACCCTGGTCTGTACCCACTATCTTTTACTTAGAACCAATCAGAGCTCGGTGTTCTGACGTCACCACAACCACTGCAAAAGAAGCAGACGAACTTGCGGTTCGCATACTTCGGCATCGGCGAGCGCTCGTCCAGACGCTGCAAAAGCGTCAAACTAGCGCTCGCGGTGACGCGGTTACGCGAGCTAGAATGGCCCCAGGGATACACTATACTTACGATGCTAGAGTACAAAATGCAGGTATTGTACTTGTTTTAATGACCGAGCCTGAACAACACTACCTACAAGAGAAAACCTGACCCCCTCCCCCCCCCCCCCCCCCCGGGCCCCTTTTTAAACGTCATCACTGTGGGGGGTACACGCGGCGCCACGCTTGTGCCAGCGTCTCACAACAAGAGCGACGCTTGCACTTGGGTTGGGGGTCAACGAACAATTAGGTAATGCACAGGCCATTGTCTTCTAGCTGGTCCTGGTTCGCATCACACAGTTCCAGAGGGTGTGGTCGTAGCGTTCTTTCTTCTACCTGCCAATATCAGTGTTTTATAGATGTTTGCAACTGCGGCTTCCGGGTGCAGCCATTTTGGGCCAAACTAGCTCTCGGAGCGCGGCCGCATGCGAACATGTATACCTGGCGCTGATTTACGATGCGGGATGAGACCACGTGGTTTAAGAGCGATTGCTGTTATGGGCTGTCGTAAAGGAATACCTCAAGAAAATTTTCAAATATACCCGTCGTGTTCAGAAATAGGCTGAATATGATCCACAATACCCGTAAATGACAATCCCAAGTTTGTATTTTGAGCCTGATGGCTAGCTGTATTTTTCCTTATAAACGGCCCACTCTGGCAAGCACTCGGAGAGCAGCCAGCGGAGAGCACGTCACATCCGCCGCAATCGTGACGTAGATTGTCTCGGGATGAACAAAGCTGCGGCGAGGCTGATGTCGTCAGGATGCCCTAGCCGTTCCAACCACCGAAGTGGTCGAAGCACGCCAATGATCGGTTCACCGCAGCTATAACCGCAAAGCTGCTTTTGTGTGAATTTTGAGTGACGGGTTAATCGTCTATAATCTTGTAGAGGGAGAATTGCGCCGGCTGAGAGACACAAAAGAAAGTCCCGATGAGTGGGGAGTTCCTCCCTCCCCTCTTCTCTTGTGCTGTTGGGATGGCGTCAGGTTCAAAGCATGCATAGTTCTAGGCGAGACAGTTATCGTCACTACCTGTCAAGGTTCCTGGACGGGCATTTCAAACGAGGCTTTCGCGAAATCCACCAGGTGCTCTTTGCTAATCGTTTAATTTGTTATAAAATTCCTTTTCGTGCCTTTTTTAACAAGATATTTGTGTGTCCGATGTGATACTGCTCCTCTGAACACGTAAAGACCAAAAAATAAGCGCCAAAATTTTTGTTGTAGTATTCCTTAAGGCGGTGCTTCAATCGATGCGAAGACTAGGGAGGACTTCTTAATTGCAGTGTACGGAACGGCGTTCCCGGAACGCGTTTCTTTTAAGAGGAAAGAATCAATGCCGCCGTTACATTTTGCATCGGTGGAAATGGAACGGGAACTCGTTATATTTTCACTGGAACGGAAAAAGGATCGACTTTCCTCTTCTTCATTCAGTAAGGTAATTTTTATTTTATCTTCGAGAGGAAAATTCTAAAAGTATAAAAATAATACGTCTACGAAGAGCAGTGCCTCGTTAACTCTTTGGTTATTTATTTTAGGGCTTATTTTGTATGGTCCTCGCTTGGTAACAGTCGGGTGCAGGAGAGCTAATGGACATTGATTCTTTTTTTCAGTGCCCGAGACTGTGGAACCAAAAGCAAAACTTTAAGTCGAAGGAAAAGACACAGACAGAGGGACGTTTCAAATTCGGCTACTTCCTTTGCTTCCACGAATCCTCATACACCCAGAAATTTAAGGCCGACTACATCTATCACTGAACTTCCACAAAAAGACCTACAAGTACAACAAAAGAACAGGTTACCAGACATTGAACGCGACCTTGTATTCTGAACATTTGTCACTGAAAACACAAAAATTAACCTCCATTGATCTCCTCCTTATTTGCCACCTTCAAGCTGAACAACGAATCTAACCTTCACGAAGAAGGACTTGTAGTTTTCAAGACTGACCTTCCAAAAGTCCAACCCTCTTCTTCACTTGCTCACTTTACGGACAGCTACATCGAGAAGCAACTGCTGTTAAGTTCGAAAAGGAGACTGTCAGATTGAAACGTGCAAGGTTTTTTTTTGTAAAACGCACGTGCAATGTGGGGATAGCTGTACATTTTGCTTCTCTGAATCGTCCACCACGAACATGAATATGGTTAAAAGCTGCGATTTTTAAAGGTGAATATCTCGACCAATGAGACCCTGCTTCCGCTTGCTTTATTCTCCTGGTGCTCTTTCGTCACGGCATTCAAATTCGTATGTTTCCATTTGATGGGATAGAAAGAAGAACACTTTGCTCGATCGAACTAAATACGGTAGTCAGCAAATCATGCATAGTAAATATGGTAATCAGCAAACTACAAATGTAACGTACATGTAACGATACGTTTCATTTTTTTAACTGTACCGGGAACGAGTTCCTTTTTCACACATAGAACATGTGACGGGAACGGGTTCCGAAAATCAGAAGGAACGGGGAACAAGGTTTTGTTCCTTTGTCTTGAGGAGCGCGTACAACCATAGTCTCCTCTATACAGACAAAGCCTGGCAGACCGCCACGAGACGCGGCCGTCGTCGAAAGTGAAAAGGTAGAGCGGCAGGCAACGGATCAGAGTAGAGACCTCCGTCGAGCTTCAATGTGTCTGCAACTTGGTGCGGGTAGGGGATTCATTGACAAATTGGCGCAATTCGAACGAATTGTCTTCTGTCTGGTACTGACAAAACTCACCGCTTGAATAATCGAGAGCCCCACCGTGAAGAACCCGCAAGCGTTGAATGAAAAGCCGTCGACGTCGAAACACAGCTGGAACGTCAGGAGCTGTGTGTAAATATCAAAGAAAAAAAAAAAAAAAAAAACAATGTCGGTATACTTCCTCACGTATGAACTTATAATTAGGTAAACATAGTGTAAACTTTTTTTTTTATGTTGCACATATGCTTTGGCAGTATTTAACGTCTGAATAAGGAGCCGCTTTGACGAAATATCTGCATGTCCCTTGTTTTTGAAGCGACGTGTTTTTTGCGCGCTTGCACTGCGCGTATTGTTATATGTGAATACTGATCTTCTTACATGATATTTTTGCATAGCTACATGCGTATAAGACAATTTGCTCAAGACAATGATGCATTGCCTTCCAAGCATGACTAAAGTAAAAAAATACCCGATGAGGCAGTCATACACAAAACCATTATACATAGCCAATATAAAAATGTGAAATTTCTTACGCTTCTGGCCACCTTGCGAGGGAGTTTCTGGTTTCCAATCGTCTGCATGCTCTCCTTGAGTTCTCGTGCCTTTGGCGTGTACGCAAAGTAAAGACAAAAAAGACAGTTGAATGTGTAGAATTCCAGGCAGTTCACCTAGTTACGTTCGCGCGATCAATAGATCAATTGACGTGGCCAACGAGTTCTAGTGACTTGTTACTATACAAGATAAGAAGTATGCATATGCTGTTTTGTTCGATCATGGTCCGACGAACTACCGGTTTTCGTCAGCATTTGGTCTGGTTTTGACGATAGGTGTGGTCTCGAGATGGAGTTTTTAGCTACATGAGACTTAGCTACATAAAATTTCATTTTGCTTTCTCTGTACGAAACCTTTAACCTGTGTGCCCTGGTGTCTCACCTGCTGGAATAAATCAGCGTTTAAAGGGGTAATATCTCGCCTGCTCTTCAAAGGGTTTGTCATACATTGACCATGTTTAATAATGTGATGTCCATTTTCACGCTTCATGGGAAATACTAAAACTATATAAACATCCGTCGAAGTGCCGATATTTTTATAATTATCGCGAGTAGATCGAAACAAAGTTGCATAACCTTTAATGAGTATGCTAAACGAGAAAAAAAGATCTAAAATATTTTAAAAAAAGGTTTCAAGTTTCATACCTTGTCAGTAAGTGCTTGAGAGCTGTGGGTGGCGAAGGCTATCATTAACAACGCATGGACAAAGTATCCTATCGCCATGATCTTCATCAGGAGCTCAAGAGAGGACTCTGTGGTTATAATGTAGAAAGCGCAGCAGCAGCTGCAAGCCATGGCAGCTCCGTACGTCACTAGAACACCCAACTGGATCGCCTCGTTCGCCGTTTGCAACATAGCTTTGATCTCGCGAGTGTCTCGCCGAATCTTGTGAAGGAAAGCCCATTGATGTTCTAGGCGTGAACGAGTCATCGTTGCTTCTGCAAGTCAATCAGACCTATCACTTGCCTGCAAGCATCTGTTGTTCTATAAGAGAACTTGAGCGAAACGTTTTGCAAGCGGCCCATGCGCAACCGATGCTGAGACTTCTTGACAGCATATGTTATGTCGGACACATGACAAAATAGCAGAGTAGCGACAGCCTTTTGAAATGACAAAAAAAAACACAGTAGCGTTGTTACTTCTTTCCATACCGTCATCAGGCACAGCTCAAAACGATCTCAAATCGGTCGTTTCGGTTAGTGCAAAAATGATTGACTACGACTATCTTTTTGACAAGGTACTTTATATTATTCTAGTACATAAATCGATATACAATGCTCTCATATTCAATAAACGTAAGTAGAGATATAGTTGCGTAAAAACATTATATTCCTTGTGTAACTCAACTTCTGACAGCCGTTATTAATGAAGATGTTACGGTAGAGGCTGCAAAAGTCGCGACATTTATACCTTCTATGCTCACTGCTACTGCGTGGCTGCAGCACGCCACCGATGTCAGAAATGTTAAATTTTAACCTGAACGAATGGCAAATAATCAAGAGGAGAATTCAACAGACCATGAGCTCTGATGTCCTTGATGACCTCTTCAAGATATCCTTTCAGGAGGTGCGCCACAATCACAAGCATCGATCCACTGACTGTGCTCCAGAATAAATGATACAGCGCGCCAATGGTCACAGAGAGTCGTAGCAAAAACTCGAAAACACCGTGCGCCAAGAAAGTCCTGTAGATCCTTCGAGAAACCAGGGGCGTGAAGAATACTACGAAGTAAATGACAGTGGCCACAATCAGAAGCTTCAGCTTCCGTACGAGGTTCCGTGGTGCGGGTCTCCTAGATTCGAACATTGCGCACTGTCTTAGCAGAAGAACTAAGTGGGGACCTCGGGACATCATGATTCCAAAGTTGACGGTACTCTGAATTGAAAATATGACACTGTTGAAGATGTTAGACTTAGCTTCTAGATTTCTTCTACTTCCAGAGTCCAGTATAGCCTCAACCACGGTGCAGATGGCCAGGAGAATACAAGCGCATGAATACAGACCGTACACGCGAAACCGGGTCTTCAATTCTTCAAGCCTCCTATGCCACAGACCATCTATGGGGCAACAGCCAGTTAAGCGATACATCTGAAGTATATTCCTGACACTACCATACGCTGGTGCGCGAAACTTGAGAGGTTTGGTAAAGTTGCCAACATATACCTCACGGTTGTAAAGTTGGGAATCTTCCATTGCTCCGGTATGGTTCTTTTTGTTGAATGTAGTTAACTCGCCTTGAAGTTATCGTAATACGCTCGACCTACCCGTCTTTAGCGTGCTGAAGAAATAAATCGCCAGATATTGATGGATATACTATGACCTGTCTCAAAAGACATAATGTTTGCACGTTGATTTCCGTTGCCACGGCGACGTCAAACTGGAAACAACAGGAGCTTCGTAAAAGATGCACGTGCCATTTTACTGCTTTTGCTGGTGGCACGGAGAAACAACTTTTGTAATCAACTTGTATTTTTCTTCATCTTTATTTGCGGGACTAATCCGTTCAATGTTTACCTGTTTATTATCGGAAACTTCAAAGGGCGTTCGCACAGGCCCCTCTTTGATTGCAGATTTCGCATGCTGAGGGCGTCCATAATATCGATTCATTTTTGTTTTCCTTGCTGAGATTTTCTAAACCGGTATTTAGACAGTTGTTCGTGCCATTGACTTTTTATGAAATCGGGAGTACCGTGTAAGAACACAAAAGCTATCTTCGGTTTAAAGACACGCTTGCAAACAAACTTGTGTAGTAACTTGTAGTATACTTCCAACACCCGTTTCAATCACCGACATAGCGCTTGCGTCCTGAGAACTAATTAGGTTAAATTTGCATTATATGCATATTTATTTACATGTACAGAGGATTACCTAAATTATTGTAACGGAATACGCTAAATCTTTGTCGTTCGTTTGTCGGCACCAACACCAAGGTATAGCGACGCACTAGAGCCTTAAAAAAAGTTAACCAAGAATGAGCGCATCTACTAAAGTTACACATTTCTAGATAACATTTTTTTAACGTTTCCAGAAGCAGGTTTCAGTGCATGGTGCGTTTAATATTTACATATGCGTGTTTTACCTGTTTTTTTCTACACAAGAAAATACGTTATCAACAGCTAGTAGACATAAAAGGGTCTTTCTGATTTGCTATATTCCTCAATTAAAATGTGAACGTATCCTTGTTTTAGGGCATTGCTGTCCCAGTCATGCAGAAGGAAATCCTGAAGAGCTTATGGGCGGGATCTCGTGCTTGGACTGATAGCCATCTCCTGTTTGAACCAAGAGGATAGTGTACGACATCACGCAGGCCCCTGTCTGCAAGAAAACGGTTCTCGAGTCAGTACCAATATCAGAAACATCACAATGAAAATGCATATTTCCTCCTAATTACAGTCATGTGATCTTTACAGAGACGTATAGACTGACGAACAAATGGTATATTTTATAATTATTAACAATAGGGTTTATTTTTTTGCTGGATAGGTTGATGTCTACTGCTAGACACGTTGGACCAAATGGCAGCTCACGCCATCTTGTGGATTTTGAGTGAAACAGTAGAAGAGGTTGCTGCGGACCTTCCAGCGTAACATATCTTTGAATAATTTATATTCTCATCGTATCTTAATACCCAAACCACGTTTCTTTTTTTCTTTTTTTTGGAGGGGGGGGGGGGGGGGGGGTGCGAGGCATTAGTTTAAAGTTTTTTATTTTTTTTTATTTTTTTTGTAATATTGAAGAACATTTTTTCTCTATTATGGACCATTTTATCATCGGTAGCGTCATTTTGAGGGCGTGAGAGAAGAGGGGAAAGAGATACTGGCGCTGGCGCTTTCCCCCTCGCTGGGGAGTTAGAAAGAGTGAAAGTCCCAGATGAGAGGCTTTGCCGGTGTTGGGTGTATGCATTGCCCGAACTTCGTTCGCGCTTTCTTCTCTGTTGTAAACTCCCAAACTTAATTAGAGCCACAGGCTTCGATGGCGACAGTTTCCCGGTTATCGGGACACTATTGCTCGGTTATGGGGTGCACAGTAAGCGTGGACTACTGTCCGAGGACCTCTGTCGCTTGCACGGACGGCCGGCAAATGCGGCCGGCTTCTTATTTTGAAACTAAGAAGAATCTAGTCGCGTTGGGACGGTCAACATGGGTTCACGGCTCTCTGGTATCACGCAGGAGATCGCGATTCAGGAGAACCGATAAAACTAACTTTTCGACAATTTCCAGTCACACCAGGCGTCTGAAATGAGCCTTCAACTCAGTGCTGTAGATGATAAAATCAAGTCAGTGTCCCCGTTTCATGTAATCAATATCAAGATAAATTCAGTTAAAAATATTACAAGCTGAAACAGGAACTAAAACTAGAAAACTTGCACGCACCTCGCGAGCGTACCCCACGTTCATCTGCGGTACAGCGTTCGGTGCGCGCTCAATTCACAAAATGTTCCGAACAGAGTCGAGAGGATGACGTTGGGGGAAAATTCTTTTCGGTTTACGGACGCAACCCAGTGCCGCCGGAAATCGGGGTCATGTGGAAAGCGATGGAGCTTAAAGAACACTGTAGCCGCACTCGCCTTGCCGGATTCCGTGCAAGCTACATACGTCCTCCGGCAGTATTCGAAGCTTTCTGTCGTTATTTGTGCATCTTATAGCCGAGAAATGGTGTCCCGATTACCGAGGGACTGTCGCCATCGAAGCCCGGGACTCTAATTAAGTTTGGGAGTTTAAATCAAAAAAGAAAGCGCAAACGAAGTTCGGGCAACGCATACACCCAACAGCGGCGAAGTCTCTCATCCGGGACTTTCACTCTTTCTAACGTACCAGCAAGGGGGAAAGCGCAGGTAGCCCTTTCCCCTCTTCTCTCTCGCCCTCTTTCAGTAAAAGGGCCCATTTATTATGAGACTGAAAAAATAAAACCCCTAAAACTGAAGGGAAGAAGACATCCTCACCGAAACCAACAGCGGTTTATCAACGGTGAAAAATCCAAGTCCACTGGCACAAAAAAGTTGAATGTCCAGAGATTCTTTGAACAACTGCACCTACAAGATATTGAACGAGATAAATGTAATGTTCTAAAAATAGTAGTCAACCACTTAAACTTAAAAAAAAGACCTACGATGGTTTTCGTTATATACAGAAGCAAACAAAAAATATATGATATTTCGTTCTTTCGGGCAGAACACCTGTTTCCGTCTAACAATTTACCCCTAATAATTTTAGTATTTTTTCTATAAAGTGCGCCAGAATGCAGCATTTTTCGCCGCCAGGGTTCGAATGTTGTATGAACGGTGATTTTTATTTTGTTTTCTTATGGCTTCTTTCTCTTCACATTGCAGCCGTCTCGAGTCGCCTACATTTTGGAACTTTTCAGAAAGAATATTAAATGCCTATCGTGTTTTTGTTTTTTATTATTCCTTGTTGAATTATGCATCATTTGCAAGCAACAGAACAAAAAATAAGTGGTGCGTGTATTTTATCGAGGAATGCTCAGAATGCAATCATCCGCCGTCACCAGTCTGGGAAGAATTACACCATGGCTTTCTGAGCAATTCAAAGTAGCACTATCAACGGTTTCTGAAATTCTCTAAGGCAACAGGCTCAGAGAAGTTGTCATTAGTCGGTATTCTGTAGGATGACCCTGGTCCACGACCCCCCGGTCAATTGGAACATTGTACGGGCAATAAGCCTCAGAAATCCTCGACGGTCGGCCATCGAGGTTTCCAAGGATTTCTCTTAGAAATCGGGCTTCAGGGTGTATCCATGGCCCGTGAGATGCCGTCTGCGAGCTGCTGGGCTAAATGCCTGTAGGCCGGCTGAGAAGCCAATAAAAAACAGAAAGAGGCGGGCATCCAGGTTGAAGTGGACGAATGTGCACCTCAAATTGACGCCTGACTAAAGAGAGAAAGTAATCTGGTCGAACGAATATAACTTGATGCGGTTTGGTAGCGATGGGAGTCAATACGCGTAATTCAATACGCGCAAGCCACGTAAAACAGAAATATATTTTTTTTTGTTTACTACTGTACGTGCATAATATGGGCTGATAAAAAATAACCGTGCTTTTTGAACCGCAAAAATATGCCACGTATAGCCGCAGACTCAAGCTATGCCATAACATTGCGGCATAGGTTGAGACAAAATGTCAAACTTTCATAACTCGTCGTTATCTGGTACAAATGTTAGAATTGATTTGCGGAATCTTTTCATGAACAAGGGAAGTCAACTGAGCCCACGAAAACATCAAAATAAAAACACGGTCGCCGTTTGTGCATTTCAGGAAAGTAATTGCTAAGTTCTGAATTAGATAACCTTGAATTACAAATCTGACCTCTTGTCCCAACCGCGGGAGCCGCAATCGGTTAAAGTTTAAGATTTCAACAGAAACGTATAGTTTTTTTTTTTTTGTTGTTTTTGTTTTTTTTCTGAAAAAAATCAAGGTCTTTGTTTTTTTATTAGCGGGCACTTAATTACTAGAGATAGTACATATATTCACCTGTTGCACCACAGATTTCGGGAGTTGCGATATCGGGGGCGCTTCCAACACAAGAGACAATCGCGAAGCCTGAAAGAACAAAGCATTCATGAACACGTCATCTAATGTGGTCATATTTTAGATCGCTGAGTCGGATCTATAACCACAGACAGCTCGAGAAATGCAAGAAGTAGAAAGTTCCGATAATCTTATCATTGCTCCTCATGCCAATGAGTTTTCAGCATGAGCCGACAAGAATGCCGTAGAACAAATCACAAAGCAAGAAACGTAGCGATAATAAACCACCCCCTGGGTGTCTTAGGTGTCTATAAGAAGCTCCGAGTGTCAGTGACTGTGGGCACCCTGCGTCCGCTAGGAGCCGCTACCGATCACCCAGCGAAGAGCGCCGCCCGCAACCACTTTTGAGTCTGCTCATACTGTTTCCGCACTTCCGCCAATGTGGTAACCCACAACTAGGCATGTTTACCTTGCACCACTGCAGTCGAGCTGCGACTGCCGAAATCGCTTCCCAATGAGTACGCGCGACGCCGCCGCGAGAGGCGCGCGTATCGGCACTGAGTTATAGCGAGTTCGTTTCACGGCACTCGTGTCCACGCGTGCCCACTCGCGGCGAAAAGCGAGTTCGTTTCGCCAGGCACTCCACTCCACAAGTGGTTGCACTCTCCGAGTTCGTTTCAGCGGCGGCAGTCCACGCGTGCATGCACTCGCTGCACCGAGAAAATCGGGCGTGCGCCAAAATGCAATCCCGTCATGCCTCGCACCGGCGAGGCCGGCGAGGAGCGGGAGCAGACGACGGAGGGTTCGTCTGCTACAATGTGTCGCAGAACCGAAAAGAAAAAAAATAGATTTCTGATAGAAATCTCGTCCCGCGGGCAACATAATCAAACGCGAGCTTGAATTGTTAGCGTCTGCTATTTTATGAAAGAAGCAATTAACAACCCGTGCTTTATTTGTAGGTTTTAAGTCGCTCTGTTGCCGTACAGACGCTGAAATATACCAGTGTGTCAAGAAAAGCTCAGAACAAACGCATCAGCGGCACCCGAGATGTTTATCCTCATCCGTGTGCGGGTGAAAAGTTGAACATTTGTCGACAAAACTCCCCTAGCAGAAACCTGACTGCCCAATAGGCATACGGGAAAGCTAAACATGGTGACTTTACTCGAGGCTTGGGCAACATCATCATGTTTAACATTTACCTACGTCAGCTAACTTGCCGTGTCGTAATTTGTTCGAAAAAGCTCTCGTTCTCGACGTCCTCCCCAAGGCTAATAATACCTGATACCAGCTGTAATGACGACCGAAATTGAAAGTCCCACGATAAGTTTTGCTGGATATTTCAACATACTAGTTTTAAGCCATATCCTTTTCAGTGGTTCACGCATAATACCATGCTCGAACGGATCAAGCTTCTGCTCGGACAGCATCATCAGTTTTCTTCAGTGTCAACATTTATGAGAATTGAAAGATCGCAACCAGATGTTTTGTAGACAGCCGGATGCGGAAATTTACGCCGTGTGTAGCTAACTCTCTTTACGGCAGCCGAGTTGTTTGAAGTCATCGCAACTATAAACCACAGGTTGCAGCGTTCAACGTTTGTAGATAAACGTTGGTAGTGACTGCACTCCCGCATTCCCACCCATCACACCGAACAGAAAAACGCTGGTTTCAGTTTGAGGGCGGTACTCTTTCTACAACATAGATGGCGGCAGCATCAGTCTTTTGCACTCGGTGCATTGGGCGAGTTCGTTTGAGTCAAGTTCTCCGTGCAACACTCTGCGAGTGCGATGCATTCTGGGAGAGAACTCAAACCGTGCCAGTGCGTGTGAAACGAACCCGCTATTAGATCTGCAGGGTGCCATACGGCGAGCAAGTTCGTCTGCTTCTTCCGTACCTGGCGCGTTTGTTTACTCCCCGAATGCGCCCTTGAGCTTCTGTTTCCCCCTGACCTCACCCAATGACGGTGTGCGCACTCGGCTGCCTCGTCATCGCGTGTTTCCTGCGCTTTCTCTGCGTTGCCCTCTGCTTGGCGAGCTCCTACTTGCATTCCGATGCGCCAAACACGCATTCCGGAACACTTACTCCCCGTATAGTCTGCCCGAAAACACCACGGCGCATTAAACATTCACGGGGCGATTTTTTTTTTATTGCGCGCTGCGCTTTTTTTTTTTTTTTTTCAGCTCTTATCTTGCAAAAAAAAAAAAAAAGAAAGAAACGCAGGTTGTGATCGTTTTTTAGGCTTCTTGCTTCGTAATTCATTCTTCGGCGTCCTTATATCATCGGCGAGTGCCACAATCGTACTGGATGCGGAGGAATAATGAGAGGCTCAGCCCTGCCACACGATCTGTTTCTAACGCTGTCCGTTAGGATATCGTTGGCTTAGATCAAGTGATCTGTCATCCAGCATGGGCTTGGAAAGAATTGCGTCTGGAAGTACAGTCCTAGGGGGCAAAACCGTTCGGCTTAGGAAGTAACGCGGAGTGCAAGTCGTCTGCGTCTTGCGCAGGAGTGGCGGTGACGTCAGAAAGACGCTGAGCTCTGATTGGTTCCGATCGAAGGATAGTGGATAGACCTCAAAGCAAGCTGCCTTGAGGCATACCCACTATCCTTCATTCACAGCCAATCAGAGCTCGGCTATCTGACGCCACCACAACCTCCCCAAAAGAAGCAGACAAACTTTCGCTCCAGATAACTCTTCCGACTACGGACAACTTGAGCTGTAATGAGGTCTTGCTTGGTTCATTGCACGCAAAAAAGTTCTGTAGTCAGTGCTTTATATCTTTACATAGTGCCTAGAGCGCGTCTCCGACTGGTGTGTTTAACGTCTTACACCCCCCCCCCCCCCCCTAATACATCGAAATTAGTCCCGAAGTGGCAACAAATGACGTCCCATATCGATATCCGACGGCATATGACATTCCCTCTGCAGAGGGAATGTCATATGCCGTCGGATATCGCAATACTGGATGTTGGTCGTAGAAATGCTGGCGAAAAGCAAGAGCGAACGCGAGTGTCGCTCTCGTCGCGGCGTCCCAACTCCTGGCTGCTGAAGCTTCCTTAGATTGTCAAACTGGAGAGCGACCTGCTGCAGGACAGACGTCTACTACATCGCACCACCGCTGCTGGGACACCGCTAGGATCGCGACCAGCGGCAGCATGACACTTCTACTACGTCACCAGGCGAAAATCTAGGAACCAATTTTTTTGACGCTCTAAACACGCCAGTTGGAGACGCTTTCCGGTCACCATATTGTCGCTTAAGGAGTCTTTTCAACTTTCCATAATCTGACGTTCACTTTCGGAGCTTCCCCAATATTATTGTCTCTCTCTTTCAATGTGTACAAAGTAACCAAACTGTTTAAGCCACGAGAAACGAAGGCACCTTACCATAATTTTCCTGTTTGTCGTTGTGGTATATGTTCATGATCTCGCTAATTAAACTATGTGCATCGTGCTTGTGGGGATATTATAGGCGTAGAAAAATATACAACCGTAACACCGCAAGCAACACAATACACTTGTAGTAGCAAAAAAAAAGAAACCTCACAGAGATGTCATTTCTGTGTTCATATTACCAGATCACAAGAGATGCGAGATTGAAATTTCTTAATCACCGGCAGTTTTTTTTTTTTTTTTTTGTTTAATTGCAGGCACACTAGTTGCCCATACATCATACAAAAACACGCTGCAAACATGGTAACAGTATCATCTGCGTACACTCCTTCTGCATGTTGGAAGCATGCTTGCTTCACACGTGCGTATGCTTCGAAACGTGTCTCAAAACGGCTCTTGTACGACCAATATGGCAGGACCTGTCATGCAGTGAAGAAATACGCTCCATACGATGTCTGCAGCCTTTCTTTTGTTCGATTTACTAGCTGTGTGACCGGGCTTTAGGGCTCAAAACGAGCTCAGCCGTCCATTCTAACAATTGGTTCTTACCTGCTCTTTGAGCTGCGACATGGAAACTGTGATGTGGACAAGTTCCAAGCTGCTGGCTACTGCGTAGCTTGCCGTGAACACCAGCTTTCCCCATGAGGACTCCGTCTCAGATATGAGGTAGGCGCAAGTGCAGAGTGTCAGCAGTGTGCAGGTGACAGTCACGAAGGTCGAATACTGGAGGACGTCGTTCAGCTCCTGTATTATCTTCCGCATGGCCAAGTACTTCAGTCTCGTGTCCTCGAGAACCCTAGCCGTTCTAGGGCCCCAGAGCATGCTTCCCGGTGAAAGCCGCACCTTGGCGACAGCGACGAGATCCCCTAGGTCGTCCGTGAACAGATCATAAACTAATGTGGCGATGGCGTGGACGAAGTTGCAGGCAGAGGTGAGGACAACGGTGCTCACTATAACGAAGGCTGAGGTCGCCATTGTGGCTGTCGAGGGCGGGCGCTCCGACGTTAGCTCGCCGAAGAAGAGGTAGCGACTGAGCGTGAACACTGCAAAGGACAGGAACATCAAGAAGCGGCGAATTAGGTCGATGAAGCTCCGATTTTTTCTTTGCAGCCCAGACTTGACTGGCAAGGACGCTTTGAAGTCCTCAGCATGATTGAGGACATCGGCGAGTTTGCCCGATAAACTCAAAATAATCGAGACGTTTGCCGCGATCCTGATGGCGATTATGACAAGCAGTGTGTTGAAGACGGTATTTGAGAAGGTTGTCAAGCTGCTGTTACCGGAGACCTTGAAATGCAAGAGAAAGATTTCGTAGATGACGCATCCTCCGACAATGAACATCGCGTACAAGCTGTACAGCGACCGGAACATGGTTCTGTATTTAGGTGATGTCCCATCGCTGGTCCTTGTGATGAAGAGACTCCCAGTTGCATGGCCGAACTTGGCAACGGCGTCGAATTGCTCTGCTAGATTAGACATGCGAAAAAGCGTGCTTTCGCCACCGAGACGCTTCTGGTTTGCGCTGGGAGGATAGACGCGTTTGAGGTTTATGTGAGAAATAAAGCAACGCGGACGCAATAATGTGGATTATAGTATTCCTCAATGACGACTGTTGCCTTTGACGGCAGAGACGGGGCGAAGCAGAAAAAGATGAATTAACCTAACAAGGAACAAGAGGTGACACTTGTAGAACGTAAGTGAGTCCCAGATTAGAAGGCTACGAATGCTGATGTTTGAAAGCTGAAGAGTATGAAAAATGCTGTTTGTGGCCCGTTGGGGGTGCGAAACTGCCCGCAGAAGAAAGAGCGCTTCCGAAGAACGTCTTATGTCAAGACTATCGACGTGTGACGGTGTCTTAGTTATTCAAATCCATACGGGTCCATACGCTGTTCTCGGCGAAGTTCATGGACGCCATAAGAATGTCTTACGCATGCAGCTAGCCGGCAGTGATTGATTTGCTCATTATCGGTCACATGCTGACTTCGAAACGAGTAACGCAAGTCCCTGCCACCAACAAGACCTGGAAATTTTTATCACATGTTTCGATAAAACAGTTTCCTAGGAAACTGGGCTTAGCGCTCGCACACCTTACACACCAGAAGTTGTCGATAATAAACCATAGGATAAGCGTCGTACGAGTAGTTGCAGGCACCTTCCTGTTCGAATTCATGAAGGTGGTGGTTCTAACGTAACATTTTGCTAGTATATGATATTACGAACAGGTGGCGTCTCTATACAGAATGTTGTACGGTAGTATGCTGTGTAATAGTAGTATATAATCTACTGCGATAGTAGTATATTGAGTTAGATTAAACATAATTTAATATGGATCTAAGAATTCTATTTCGCTAGGTGGCGTAAGTCACCGCCAGGTTCAAAGTGAACAGCCGCCATGAATCCATCCATCTATATCATTGTAAATTTTATAACGGTGTCGCCACTAAATATTAGAAGTATTAAATTCTGAGCTTTACAGAAGTATTAATTTCTGAGCTTTACTACAATTTCCTTCCCTATAGACAGCGTTCAAAACCACAGCTGCGCGCTGACCTGGATTTTAAGTTCTATAATATCAATCGATTAGGAAAACAAAAAGACGTAATTTAGTCAGGTGCTTTTTGTAGAGGCGAGCCGCTGAACAAGGATAGGTTTACGTCTGCTGTTCGCTTCGTTAATGCGTTCATGTAAACACGCGCTTTTGCTTTTTGTTTCAAATCTCCGTACTAGCTGGTACCCAGGCGAATCGTATAGAGACACCAAAACGTCTCCACCAACCATTTAATTAGTCCAGCCGGTAAAATGGTTTTTTTTTTTTTTGTGTGTGGCGTTTTATTAATGGTTCATGATCTACAGCACAGGTTAAGGACAGGCTTGTCATGAAAAAAAAATGGCGGGCGGATTTGATTTTATTTGCCGTCCTGTGCGAATAGTCGAGTGATTCCCATTTACACTTGCGCCGCTGAATGTTCCGAGATTATTGGATTCCATAGCGTCCGTTTGAAGTAGAAAATCAAGCCGGTGGAGATTTCTGATTGGATGATGTCGGCCATCTTGAAGCTGGGAAAAAAAATATAAAAAAGACCAGCAGACTCTGCCAGGTTTAATGCGATTGGAGAAGGACGCCATTTTGAAGCCAAGGACTCTAGGGCAACGAGGTGATTTTGAAAGAAAATAAAAACATTGGGGTCACTATACTGTAGGAACACTCGCCAGCTCTTATCTATACTACATGGAAAGAACATATTTTGCATTAAACAGGGGGTAGCGAACATGTGCAATATTCGCGTTTACGTGTGTTGAATCTGGTGGATATCACTCAGCACACCAGAGTGAATACCAAAAGATTCTATGCGCATATCGATCACTTTTTCGTTTGCTTGGCTCCCATTTGTGAGTCAATATCTAATTTCTGTTTTATGAGAGCCGGCCCCTAGATACGGTGTTGACTTCTCAGCCAGTAGATATACCTTAACGTTTTGGAAATTGCGGTAGTATCATTCTACCATGTTGCAGTACTTTCAACCGAACGAAGAGAGTTGGTAATCACAAGCATTTTGTTTCCAGCAGGGCTTAAGCCACCGACGGATCTTCTATAAACAAGACGCGGTAAGCCAGTCTTTCGTGGCTCTAATGTCTTTTTTTTTTTAGTCGAAGTTTAAAGCAAGACTCATTTATCATTGCGCAGTCAAGGAGATAAGAAAGTAAAATTACTTCCTAGCACAGAGTACAGCATGCATTGTGTCACTTTTAAATTAACCTTAGCACAGGCCTGCTCGTCAGTTGGGCCTGTTATGCTCCGCGAGTGATCTTCGTACCGATATATCTCTCGACCCGGCTGCAGCAATCAAGTCCCTTACTGTCGTTTCATGTGCCACTGTATTATTCAGCCGTGGCCAAGCCAATTAGGTTATGCCACTCCCTCTTCTGTAAATATGCTGTAGTTACGTTAGTTTATCTCTATATTTAGCGGATAAATGCATAGACAGACTAGATTACGGACAGATTTCTGGGAGTAGTAGGTTCTGTTAAAAAGCATTCTATGCTTTTAACAAAGCGAGCTTTTTTCGCATGCTGAGTTCCCACAGATCTGGTGTGTCATTACGCTTGTTTATGAATATTGAGTTGGTGTGTACACCTTTAGCTACTCTAGCACGGCCGGATTCTACCGGCATCCATGTGGTGTCAGGCTGCCGATAACTAACCTTTTCTGAGAAGGGTTCTGAACATGCGCGAGCTCTCCTTCACCCTGGCGGCCGTGACTGGCATGTGCTTCAAAGAAAACAGAGATAGGTGAAATAGCAGACGACACTTGCGAGCAGCCGGCGTATACATTGCGCAAGCGCAAGCAGCTCATACATGCACAGAACTGGCGCCGGCTACAGATCGACCTGAGAGCAGCAAGGACGTAGCTCCAAATTTAGTTCGTATACGCCTGCCGTTGGGTGCCGTCTCCATGTGGGGGAGGAGCCTTGCTAGATGGCGCAAGCCACTGCCTGATTTAAAGAGTTCAGCCTTATGCATCCATGCCATCGATTCCTCCAGGGCCATTGGGCCGTGTTCCCAATCTTACCCAAATGGTTCAGAGTTCCTCCGGCGGGCCGGCGGGTCGTGTCACGTCACAACACAGATTGAAAAACGGTAGACAGGGGTAGGTTTTTGAACGCCAATGTACAAAACCTTTACCCTGGAGTAAGATCGAGTAAATTTTGGAACACGGCCTTGGGCTAACTTCTCAGTTGCCGTCAGACGCCGTAAAGTGTGGCGTGACATTCTTGGACACTTAGTGGATTCCTCCAGACGCGTTAAGCATACGTATCCATTTTATTTTGGGGACAGGAACATGAAGCAAATGAAGAACTGCTCCGTTCAACTGGGACCCAGGACACGAGACGACCAGGCGAGCGGGCAGTTCTACGCTGGGTACCAATACCTCGCCATTTACGGCAGGATGATCGGCGCCAATTTCCTCGACCACCTTAGACAGAAGGATTGCAGGAAACTGGAATGCACAAAGCTCGGTTTATACGTGTACGCCTCGTGCATTCTGTGGTTCATTGAGGTTGGTAAGTGGCCTACTACGTTTCCCACCAGGGGCTCTAAGTTGGACACTCGGCGAGAAAGTCGGCAAGATCGCTAAGCGCCTCGACTGGCCCGCGCCGGGCTTAACTTTTGGCGCTGGCTAATTTAATAGAAACGAAATCTTTTCTTTCGATGCTTCTTTATTCGAATGTACTAAACACTTTCGTGCACGAAATGTGTTTCTGTCTGACGTTTTAATTGCCGTTCGCTTCCTGTCGTTTCCGGAAGCGGTCGTATCTTTCACACCCGTTTAGCAATTGCAGATTCATACCAAGTCTACCGGGTTGCGGGGGAGGCGGGGGGGGGGGGGGGGGGGGGCTGCAGCGAAAGCTTACGTTGCAGAACCTCCTGGGTTTGATGGCCACCCCCTGGTCGTTTCGGTCTCTTTAAGTTTCGTACCGGCACGCGTTCGTGTAATCGCTACTGCGTGGTCCACGTTAAAGCCCCAGGTTAGCGGTTGTACTACACTGGCTAAATTTCTCATCTCCAGCTAAGAGACAAGTCTCCCGTGGAGGCACACTAGCGTCAAGGCTATCTAAACATACAAGCAACACATTTTTTTTTCTGAGAGTTTCGCATTTCGACGATAGGTTCGCGGTGTCAGTATGATATCGCGTCAGGAGTTAGCGGCAGCGCGCGGTCGGTAGCCGCCACTTCGAAGACGGAGGTATGACGAGAGCGTTTTGGCCAAGACAGCTATCGGCCGTCACTTTAGCGTCAAGTTGAAGCGTTTATTCTGATTCTCACGAAAGGTCTGCGCGGAACTATACCAGGCCAATGCCGATTCACGGCGTTTTTCCCAGGCCCGTCAGTGGGCGTCCACAGATACTAGAGGACAAAGCATGCAGTTTTATGCTCAGGTACGGGGCAAGCGAGTGCTTATGCACTAAATCCCAGACCTGTGCAATGTATCGGAGAAACTGAAGGCGGGGGCTATCAAGAGCGTAATACCATTCCCGGAGGCCTGCTGGCAGGCTTCATATGGGCTCCGCAGTTTTTTGGTAAATTCTGTGCGGAAATGTGCTAGCCAGTGCTTTGCTTTTTGCGTCTGTGGTCAGCGAAGCCGACATTCAACCCCTGGATGTCGAAAATCGCAAAAGTAAGCGACTTTTCTTGAGATTTCGGGTCTTTTTCTTGGATTACGTTATGTGCTTTGCTAAGCCTAACACTAGTCAGGCCTAACAGGTCGATTGACATGGAAGTCGACGGCTCGTCGCTTGCGTCGGAGACTTCGGCGCCTCGAGAAGAACCCACCGGTGACCCTACGTATTCCCTGGGTCGAGCTGTAGTTTTGAGGGAAGACATCTCCGAGAAGAATTTCTATGCGAAGGGAGCTGGATGTACAACGGCGGTCCGAAAGGCGTTACACAAGAAGCAAGAAGCCTCTAGAACTCTCCAGAACGCTGCTAAGCCTCACGGTTGGCGCCAAGAAGCAAATAGGCCTCGCTCGACTCCTAAGCAAATGCCGACTAGATTGCCGGAGCACGACATCAAGGTAGTTCTCCGACTTAGGAGAGGATTGAATTTGCGAACGGTGAATCGCATAGTTCTCCAACGAAGTATTTCCAAGGCGGCGGAAATAGACGGCATCGCACTATTCCGAACCGACACCTTTAGGTACAACGAGCAACAGAATACGCTGATCTTCAGCACGCCCGACGAAACTCGAGCGGGAAAACTCAATTCTATCTAAGGCATTGAAGTTGACGGTCGCCAATACCCCGTAGCAACGTACGTGGTAGCACCAGACGATACCGTCAAAGGGGTCATCCATGGCATTCCTGCGGAAGACACGGATGACATAATCACTACGAGCTTGGTACACCCCGGCAACCCAAGCATTGTACAAGGGAGGAGAATGGGTCTGTCCAACTCGGTTATCATCCTCTTTCAGGGTCGCCGCGTTCCATTCTGGGTACGATATGACTGAGTGGAGACGCGATGCTTTCTCCACAAGAAGATACGAGAGTACTGCGAGAACTGCGGTAACCTAGGACACCATGCTGATGTGTGTCCAAGAACAGGCCGAACGAGATGTCGTACTTACGCGCAACCACGAACAAGGCCACACATGTGTGCCCACCTGTGGAATGTATTGCAAGGGTCACCCAACGGGAGCAAAGCAGTGCAAGAAATTATTTCGCACTCCACCCAAGGCGAAACCCACCGCACCACCAGATACCGCCAATGTCGAGAGCCCAGCCCTGCTCAGCTCAGAGTTCCCCCCACTTGAGACGCCCCGCGCGAGATCAAGATCGAGGGGCTGATCCAGGTCATGGAGCAGAACTCCACGTCGACTAGCCAGACCCAGCAGGTCGAGGTCAAGATCAAAGGCCAGACACAGCGTCGGGTGGAGCGAGGTGGTAGCCGGTCACCCCAAGACCAAGCCAACCTCACGCACTGCAAACAAGACTTCCACCAAGCTCGCAGAGTTGAAGGATATATGGTGGAGAACCTTTAGGACACAGTAGCACAACTTCTGCTACAAACTGCAGAGTCCGGAAGACGAAGGAAGGAGGCCGAAGTTTGGTATAACGCAGTACAGCAGCAACTCGACTTGCAGAGAAACGGAGCAGGACCAACTCCCAAGAGGAGGGCTGTCCGCCGCAACATGACGCCACTCACTTCTACCCGCTCGGGCACAACCACGAAGGATGAAGGAATGGCCATGCAACAGGACACGACCAACCAAGACATAGACACACACATAGACCAGCTGGAAGGCGAGATGCGCGAAGTAAAGGACTACTTTAAGACCATCCTTGACAGAGTCCCACAACCCAACAATGTCCAAGACAAGTAAAGGTTGCATTGTGTGGCAGCGGAACTGTCGAAGCTTGGCTCCGAAGAGGGGACACCTTCACCAGTACCTACAATCCCTACCACCAGAACGCAGAACAGACGTTTTAGCCATACAAGAAACGTGGAAGGCCATCACCATTCCGGGATACCAAGCCTTTAATCACACCAACTCATCAGGGGTCGTACGAGTCACCACGCTAGTGCGATGCAACCTACCAGCACAACTTCATTCAACCGGTATCGAAAACATCGAGCACACCTTCATCGAAATCTTGGCGGGCAAGAAAAAGAGCCATCGCAACACCTTCATCCTCAATGTATACAGTCCTCCGAAGACACCACACTCATTTCACCAGCTCCTGCGCGGCGCCATAGACATGGCCAAGGGAAAGGCTCTGCTCATCGTTGGTGACTTTAACGCACCACACATGTCATGGGGCTATCCGCAAGGTAGCGCCAAGGGTCGGCAGCTTTCGCAGGACATTGCCACCCTGAGACTGGCCCTACCCACAGACCTGACGCAGCCAACTCGGAAAGCCACGGGCGGATGCAAAGACACATCACCAGACCTCACACTCGGTCACTGCTTGGACGCAGAATGGCACAACACCCTGGAAACTCTGGGCAGTGACCACTACCTCCTCAACATTCTCCTGAGACGCGGCCCCACGAAGCCCAAGGGAAGGCCTCTGCGAGTAGTCGAGTGGGACATTTTCTGGCAGGAGCTGGACGAAGTGGACCGAGACGAAGAGATCAAGGACCTGGATCAGCGGACTGCAGGCATCAGGGAAGTTGAAGCCCCAGCCACAAGAAACATTCCCGAGGAAGCAAATCTGACCGCGGCGGACAGTCGGCTCCTGCACCTATGGGAAACGAAGACGAACCTAGAAGCACGCCTAAGGCGACAGAAAGGAAATCGTCGGCTACGCAAACGAATCGCAACATTGTTCAAGACCATCGAGAGTCACGCCACTTATCTCACAACTCAACAATGGGAAGACACTTGCAACGAGTTCGAAGGAACTCCCAACACTCCAAAGACCTGGAACATCCTTCTACATCTCCTTGACCCCGGACAAAGCCTAACCACGGTCCGAAATCAGATGGAGTGTATCCTGTACTCCTTCAAGGGGGATGGAAAAGAGCTTGTCCCAGCAGTACAAAACAAGTATACTGGACGAGCTCCGCCAACACCTGCGATGGAATACACGGGCCAGCCAAACCCTACGCTAGACGAAGAGTTCCGACCCTTCGAAATCATGGCTGCGATCCGAGAGCTCAAGACCCGCTCCGCTCCGGGACCTGATGAAGTCTCCAACAAGCTACTGAGCCACTTGGGCGACAGAGAGATTGACTGGCTAACATCATACTTCGACATCTGCTGGCAAAAAGGAGAAATCCCAGAATCCTGGAAGACTGCAAAGATGATGTTTATACTCAAGCCTGGGAAGAAACTACAACTGGACGCCCTGCGCCCCATTTCGCTCACATCCTGTCTCGGGAAGGCCTTGGAGCATGTCGTACTCAATCGCCTTAACAGGTACGCAGAAGCCCACAGAATCTTCGCGGACACGATGGTCGGGTTCAGACCTATGCTCTCGACGCAAGACGTGATGCTACGACTGTATCATCAGATTCTGGCGCGGGAATACGCACCCAAAAGGGACACCAGAGCCATACTCGGGCTGGACATCTCGAAAGCATTCGACAATGTCAGCCACGCAGCCATCCTCCGCGGGCTAAACTCCATTGATGTGGGCGAGCGATTCTTCAAATACATACAGAACTCCCTATCAAGTAGGCAGGTGCAGGTCTCGATCGGCGGGTTCCAATCTGACCTGCAAACTCTGGGCGGAGTCGGCACACCGCAAGGAGCAGTGCTCTCTCCGTTTCTCTTCAATATCGCCATGAAGGATTTGCCGACGAAACTACAAGGTATCCCCAACCTTCACCACAGCATCTACGCAGACGATGTCGCTCTGTGGATGGTAGGAGGAAGCGATGGCGCCATCCCAGACTCGCTGCAAGAGGCTAGACGCATCGTGGAAGCCTACGCTAAGGAGCGCGGACCAGCCTCCTCTCAGGAAAAGTCGGAGTTGCTACTCATGGCCGGCACCACGGTGAAAACTCCCTCAAGCATCATACTGCGGGTCGGAGGCAAAGACGTCCCACGGGTCCGGCGACTTCGGATACTCGGTCTGTGGTTGCAAGAAGATGGCAAGAACACATCCAGCATCGGAGTCCTCCGTAACCACGCACAGCAAGTAGAAAGACTCATAGCAAGAATCGCCAGAAAACGGTACGGGATTAAAGAGCAGGATGTCATTCGCCTTATCAAAGCCTTCGCGGTTAGCAGGATTGCCTACATCGCACCCTTTCTGGATTTGACACTCACGGAGAAGGATGCCATTGATCACATCACCCGCTGCGTATAAAAGAAAGCCCTTCAGCTACCACCTTCAACAGAGACCAGGCGACTCGATAAGCTTGGGCTTCACAACACCATCTCGGAGATCATTGAGGCACAGAGGATAGCCCACTACGAAAAGCTATCTCTGACCACAGCGGGGAGAACCATCCTCACATCTTCGGGAATCAACTACCACCCAACAGGGCACAGGAAGCGAGGCTGGCTTCCAAAGGAGCTACGCGAACAGCTACAGATTTCGCCTCTACCTCGTCACATGCATCCAGTGCACGACGCAGGCAGACGCATGGCCAGAGACAAGGCTCTGGAGCAAGGCTTCGACGACTCCGAGGTGACCTATGTCGGCGCAGCCTCAGCTGACAGGGGTCGAATGACCCTTGCAGTTACGAATCGCTCCGGCCAAATCCTCACGGCAGGCAGCATTAATACCAGCAACAGTGCAGAGGCAGAGGAAGCAGCCATCGCCTTGGCCCTCACCCTCAGCACCACGAAAGTCAGTGATTCCCAGATGGCCATCCGCCAGTACATGCGTGGTCACATCTCTGACAAAGCCCTCAAGAATTCCACTGGTCGTCGTCTGATCGACCACTCAGTCCGCATCCTGTGGTCTCCAGCCCATGCGTCACTCCCAGGCAACGAGAGTGCCTGGGAGTGCAGCCCGCGCTGTTACACACCGAGCTAGCACACCAAGTGAGCACTCGACCTTCGCGTCGTGGAACCACGACAACCTCTACACCTTTAAGGGGGTGCTGGACCACTACCGAGTAGAACGCCGAGCCTACCCAAAGGCTCACAGCACTCTCAGCAAGGCAGAATCCATCATTCTCCGTCAAGTCCAGACGGAGACCTTCCTCAACCCGGCGCAGTTGCACTCGTGGCACCCAGATACCTACGACCCGTCTTGCAGGAACTGTGGCGAGATCGCCGCACTCTGCCATACACTCTGGGGGTGCCTGGAGCTGCTTCTTCATTCGAAGAATAAGGAGTTCATCAAGCAAGCCAGGCAACCAGGCGCCTGGGAATCCTTCCTGCGGGATCCTGACCCCAAGACTCAGAAAATTCTAGTCCAGCTGGCCTCGGACGCCACCGGGAACATCGCGTCTCGTCTGTCGACCGAAGGGATCGCTTCGTCAAGGGTCTCTCCCTAAGAGAGACTCGCTTGACATAGGGATCTAACAGTCTTGGACCCAACAAAGTCCACTTCACTTCATTTCATTCCCGTGTCTTTCAAGGAGATTTTTAACACTGCGAATTAAAAAGAAACAATTTACGTGAGCCAATCTTTCAACAGTTACTACAGAGAGAAAAACCTGCGCGAGAAGGTGCGTGAAACGCTTTCGGAATACCATATTCGAGCAGATACTCACCCTCAGTTAGGATCTCGATTCCGCGTCCACCACAGGTACGTTATTTTTATAAACGAGAGGAAATGCCACTCCATCTCGGCGTTATTGTTAAGCATTGCAGATATCTGAGTAAGATCTGCCAGAAATGGCACCGCGAGCAGAGACGGACAAGAAGTGTCTTCTGGGGTGCTATGTTGCGCTTTTTGGACTCTCAGGAGACTTGGAAGAAGGAAGTGACGCCAACAACGCTCTTTGGATTTTGATTGGTGGAATTGCTGATGACGGTATCTGCAGAAGAAAACAAAGAAAAAGTGAGCGGAAATCGGTAAACCGGAAGCACCACCATTAACGGACGTGACGTCAAAATGACATATGAATACTTTGCTGTTACGTCGCTTTGAAAGAACGATGCAAGATGGGGTGCAATGCGTCCGCGCCGTCCCGTCTAACCATAGACTGCACCCCGATATTTGAGTTGTTATATCCGGGGGAAAGGCGCAATCGGAGTCATCGGGATGCTTTTGAACTCCCGGAGCACGTATTCCGGAAGCAGTACCGCCTGGGCGAAGTCTTTAGTGCGGTGGCTGTGTGACGAACTCCGTGAGGAGCCGGAGCTGCAGAGACTGCGTTCGTCAAGTACTGTCATGACTGTGGAGGACCAAGTGCTGTGCGCCCTTCGGTTCTACGCTACGGGGAGCTTCCAAGGTATAATGGCGAGCGACGAGCACATAGCACGGGATCAAGGCACGGTCAGCATCGCCTTGCGGGCCGTGTCCGTCGCTATTGTGCGCCGTCTGGGGATCCAACATAGCTGGATCCACTTACCCCCGACGGCAAGCGAGAGGGACGACTTGGAGAGGGGCTTCCAACTACTCGGCAGGATTCCGGGCGTCATCGGGTGCATCGACGGGACGATGATCAGCATCGTCGGCCCGTCCAAGTACGACCCCACCGTCACGAAGGCTGCGTGATGGTGGTAAGTAACCCCTCTGAACGAAACTTGTATTGTACGACGATGCGGATGCAGGGTAGGCATAAAGGGCTGCTCATCTATTTTTCCAACTAGTGTCACAAAAGAAAATTTACACGGTCTTTTTTACCGCAAAAATAAACTAGGCATCGCCGAACGCTCATTCTCCGCCCAAAGGTAGTGCTAGAGGTCACAACCAGATGCCAAAGTTTCAGCCCGATCCGATAACTTAATCAAAAGTTATAAGTGATTTTCTGAAAATTTCAATGGGAAAATGGCGGCCGGCGTAGTTTTCAAACACATGGGGCTCTATGGCACCAGAAACCGAAAACGGGCAAAAATGGACTCCATTTTCCCATTGAAATTTTCAGAAAATCACTTATAACTTTTGATTAAGTTATCGGATCGGGCTGAAACTTTGGCATCTGGTTGTGACCTTTAGCGCTACCTTTGGCCGGAGAATGAGCGTTCGGCGATGCCTAGTTTATATTTTCGGTAAAAAAGACCGTGTAAATTTTCTTTTGTGACACCCTGTATATAAACGTACGTTTCTCACAGGGGGGGGGGGGGGGGGGGGGGATGACTGTGGAAGGGAGCGAGCTTGACCGCTTGACACTGCACCCCCCCCCCCTTTTTTTTTTTCTTTCTTTTTTTTTCTTTCTTTTCTCTCTTCGTTTATGTTGTACAATATGAGCTGAAACAGCGCTCCGGACGCCGCACGGTACTAGGGAGGCTCTAGTGAGGGTGGGCGCAACTCAAAACCTGGAGAGCGTTTGCAATTTAATGGCGGCGCCTGAGGGAGAGGATTCGTGAAGGATATGCGCCAATGTTGCCTGCACGAGAGCAGACGCCCGCTCTCTTGCAACTCTGTTGCTCCATGCGCCTTTCCTCCTGTCGCCTCCCATTGCAAGCAACGAACACCTTGGCGCAGCCTCTCTCGCTTCCTTCTAAGCAGGGTTGCCAGACCAGCAGCAACGTCCAAGATGGCGAAATTTACCATTTTTCGCGTTAAAAAAATACTTAGTCTATCGGAACAAAACTGGTGGCTATGGAAAGGTTATCAATTATACCTTGTGTAAATTATTCAAGCACCTTGATGGGCTCTTATGACCTGAGTTAGAAAAGAAAACGACCCTTTGCCCCATAGGAACCGTGCGGATCTAATTCAAGCCCCGACCAGGGCGCCCCTAGCGGCAAACGGGTCCGTTGCATCGGGCATCTTCTGCCAGTCGCTGCGTTGGTTGAGCTAAAGTTGAGCGTTGTAGCGGTTGTAGTGGGTTAGCGCTGTAAGGGAGGAAGTGGCCGAGTGGGCTAACGCGTCTAAGCTCGGAGCCTGGAGCGAAAGCTTGCGCTGGGAAGCTCCTGGGTTCGATCCCCGCGCCCCCGCCCGTTTCGATCTGGATGAGTTTTGTAACGGCACGCGTTCGTGTGATCACTACTGCGCAGTGTTGCCAGACGAAGAAAAAAAAAGTCAGCGGATTAATCTCTAAGAAGTCTGTAGATTTGCACAAAAATCAGTAGATTCTACGAAATTTGTGTTTTGGCATCCTTTGCCATTACCATTAAACCATTTTTCGAAGAAATACTATAGAGCAAAAAATAACATGGTAATAAACACAAATAAAGTACGAAAAAACAAGAACAAAAACAAAGTAAAATGGCACCGTGAATATATATATATATATATATATATATATATTATCAGCATTGACTAGTGTTGCGATTTCGAGGATTATTCGTTGAAATCGAGACTGACCCACTTTTGGGATCAACAGATGAGGGCGACAGTGGGACATCCACCTGTCGGTATTAGTGAAACGAAACCAAAACAAGACGTTCCAGCAAGTGCGCGCGTGTATGTTCATTTTATGTCCTCTGCAAGCTGCCATTTTTCCTTACTGGGCTGTGGAAGGTTTTTGACGCAACGCTGTCGGCGCGGAGCACTGTCGAGGCTACGCGTCGTCTGCTGCGGGCTTATATCTTTTTCGCCTGACTCAAAGTTTGCGTTCGCATGTGGAGAAACTTAATTCGTTAGCTTTTTAAGCCACCGAGGAATAACATTATATTATTTTCTTGCCAAAGCCTGGCAAATAAAAGTTAACAACCGAAATTTGGATGTCGATCCCATGCATACTGCCGGGCGAATGAATGAAAATGGCGGCACTCCCAGCTCAGCTGGAAGCAGCCGAGAGTTCATGCGCATGCGCTCACACCTCTCGCTTAGCGCCGCAGGCTGATTGGCTCACTCGGGAGGGAGACGTTACGGCGGCGAGATCATAGACTGGCCAAACTCTCCCCCTATGTGGCTCTGGCCCGGATGTCACCGTCGAACCCAACGTTGGTCGAACCTGCTCTGTGTGAATAGATATGAATATACGGTTAAATCGCTCGAACAGGTTGGGTTTCTGGCCGTCCAGCCAGTGCTTCGTTTTTAATTGTGGGAGAATATGAGTTTCCTTTGATGGGCGACCCTGGGAACTGAGGGGGCCTAATAATAAATTTTTAATATGTTTACTAAAAAAATTCAGTAGATTTTCTTCTTTTTCAGTGAATCAGTAGACCCGGAACGAAATCAGTAGATCTACTGATAAATCAGTAGACCTGGCAACACTGCTACTGCGTGATGCGCGTTAAAAATCCCAGGTTAGCGGTTGTACCGCACTGGCTAAATTTCTCATCTACAGCTAAGAGACCGATTACCCGTTGAGGCGCATCTCCATCAAGGCTGTATAAACATAAAGAGCAAGCCAATTTTTTTTTTTTTGGGGGGGGGGGGGGGGGGGGGGTTAGCGCTGTATTTTCTGAGATGGCTATTCCGCACCAAGAAAGCCGCAACAATTGCTGCGTGGTCGGCGAGATCGCGCACGCCACGAAGTACTAACTACATCGTCCCTTCGAAGCCGTACGAGGCGGAGTACTGCGCGACCTGGGTACGACTTGTGCGTCCATACAGGTTAGTGGTGTTTCTTACCTTCCAGTTCGCGCTTTGTTTAAGCTGCTGACGAATAATACAATTAACTTTTTTTCTCTTCTAGCGACGATGAAATAGCATCGACACCGACGGCAAACTCTAAAGTATGCAACAAATACTTCACCGGAATCGAGAAGCGGAATGCGGTCGCCCTCCTAAGCCTACCGTTGGATGTTTTCATCAGCCTACAGGAAGACAGTAAAGAGAATCGCGGAACGGCGCGAAAAAAAAATCGCCCAGTTATTGTCAAGCTGATACAGAAATAAACGTACATAACTACCGCAGTCCACTCAACGCCAACAAAATTTTTTTGCGGGCGCGCTTAATTTTGTTTGCAGACTACGGCGCTCCGTGACATCCACTTGTCCGTCGAAACGGACCTCCTTCACGTCGCACACACGGCCAGATTCATGAAACGGTTCTCTCTTCGTGATATTGGCACCACGGAAGAAGCTTTCTGGATTCGTAACCGCCTTAAACCCCGTCGTAATCACCCCGGGAACACTGTCCGCTGTGCTGCTAATCGCCACTGCTTCCCCCCGATGATTCTGCACCGGCTACCGGAGAAGCTTTCCGGATTCTTAGTTGCCCACTGTCCTCTGTGCTGTTCGTTGCTATTACTTCGCGATGATTCTGAGCCGGCGGCACCGGCTTCCGAAGGAACTTTCCGAACTCGTAACTGCCTTAAATTCCGTCGTAATCACGACGGGGACACTGTCCGCCGTGCTGTTCGTCGCCATTGCTGCCCGATGCTCCTGCGGCGGCTACCGCCAGGTCGCGGCGAACAATAGGCGACCGCCGCGACACGGCCGGCTTGCTCGCTTCCTATAGACTCCCAGCAAAATTTATCAATTAAATGGCGTCCATGTCCCGTGATCCCCGATCTAGCAGTTGCACCCACCCTCACTTGAGCCTCCCTACACGGTACTACTGGTACTACCAGTACCTGCGCCACCTGTCGCATTGCAACGCACACTCGGCCCCAGGCCGCCCAGGCCATAGAGATCATACATACTAACTCTAGAGGAAAAGGTCCGCCATTTTCCCATACATTCTGGCTCAGTGTTGCCAACCGTAGGGTAATTACCCTACTTGTAGGGTATTTTAGGCATTTATGGTATATCGTAGGGCTGTAAGGCCGTCCGGCCATTTCCCCGCCAAAAGTAGGGTATTTTCAGATGCTGCTTCTTCAACGGCGAGCATAAAAAAAAAAAAAAATTTGCCGCGCGA